GCAGGCCCCCCCCCCAGGCCTCTTCATGACGAGGTGGGTCCTATCTGCGAGTCTCAACCTTATCTGCTGCTCAGTGAACGACCAAAAACTCTTCACAAGTCAAAGCAGTGCAACAGGAAAACCCCCTCTGAGCACGGAGGCAGATAATCAGAGACCCCGACGACACCCGAGAGAGAGCGGGGTTTAAAACTCCACCAGGCGGCAACAATCAAAAAACCCAGATTACAAGCAATCTACTGGCTTTAGCAGGAAGCCATCTGGTGGTTTGATCCCACAGAGGAACCAGAACACTGAACTAAGCTAATCAGATCAGTCAACATCCCGTCAGACTACACACAGAAAGAAATGAAGAAGGCAGCCGCGAGTAGAGCTGCAACGGATCATGAAACTCACAGTTCGGATCGGATCAGTTCAAAAGAAAAAAGGATCAAATATAACTTTTAGAGATCACTGATCACGTTGATTTTCTGCTGATACTAATAGATGATCACTGATGATCCATATTAACAGATACCTATCATTGTAGCTGGTCTACAAGGATCCAGACCGGTTCAGTAAACCATCAACTAAATGTTATCCTTTTACTTTGTTTAGCAAGTTATAGTGTTTTTCATAAAATAATAATCCAACACATCCCCTCTTGTAATTGTTCCTGAAAAGCTAACATGAAATACTTTCCCCTCAAATTGCAGCTCATATTTTCATTATATAAGTCACATTAAATAGAATTCAAAAAGTACATAAAAATCTCTGCTTTCCAGAAGTCATAAAAACTTGATGTGCAAAACAATCCTCTCAGTTACAACAACAACAAATAAATCATATCAAATGCATGGCTTGGGGGGAATAAACAGTTTACTTTGAGCGGCTGCCAGCTCCATTCAGCTGATAGCTTAGCATCATAAAGCTAACAACAGAACAACCAGACCACCTGATCGCTCTTCACCAAAACGGCAGAACAAGAGACACGTAAACTGTCACACCGTAATCTCTGTGCTGCTAAACATGATGTTGTGGTAACAGAGTCATTGACTGAGCTCATTCATTCACGCCCATCTGAAGGTGACATCCAAGTGATTTGAGTGTCATAGTATTTTCTTAAAGGCACAATAAGTAAGCTGATTCGAAAATGATCCTTCTTCATCATCATCACTTCTGATCCACTAGAACTGTGTGTTGGGTGTCGGCCATTTTATCTGATCAGAGAATAGTTTTTGGTGCTGCAGTTTACATTCATTATGATGAAAATTAAAGAAATACACTAGACGCAGAGGTAGCCAACACGGTGCCCGCGGGCACCCTGTCGCCCGCAGGGACCACGTGAGTCGCCCGCAAGACATGTTCTAAAAATAGCACTAGTCACCATGGAGCTCCGTCTAAAATTGTAGTTGCTGTTCTTTTTTTAATCAAAAACGCTTGCAGAGAGTTAAGAGAGATGGGTACCCGGAGGCGCACGGCGGACAGCCAGGACGAGGCCGCCACACCGCACTGGTTTTCAGGTTCTGAATGGCGGGCGCTTCCCTTTGGTGCCAGACGCGCGACGCGAGCACACCCCGTCGTCAGGTCCGTAAAAACCTCGGAACAGGCCACGGGGCAACAACTCAGGGGTGGCGGGGGTAGAGGCGAGGCAACGCAATCCGACCGAAAAGGCCCAGACTCGCGCGGAGGGTTGGATCCCCCACTCGGCTATAGGCGAGACTTTTTACTAGTTTCTTCGTTGAGAAAAAGGTACCGTTGGAAAAGCTGGTGTCGGTGACAACAGACAGGGGTTACCCAGACTTCCCCAAATGTCTACATTACCACTGCATCATTCACCAGCAGGCGCTATGTGCAAAAGTAACCGGCTTTAATCATGTGATGATACAAAAATATCAGAGATGTGTTACCTCTGACTTTCAAATGTTGAAACAGATTAACAGAAATAAAAGTTGCATGTTTAAATATGTATGTGTAGCTATTAGGGGTGGGAATCACCAGAGGTCCCGCGATACGATATTATCACGATACTTAGGTCACGATACGATATTATCACGATACTGCGATATTATCACGATACTTAGGTCACGATACGATATTATCACGATACTGCGATATTCTTGCGATACCATAGGCCTATATTCGGATTTATTACTTTTTTCAACTTCAAATCATGTCCCCAAAGGAAAACTGTGTCAACATGTTTTATCTAATGAGATAAAGTTTTCAGTCTGTTCATCTCACTTCAATCATTTTTATTGCAGCAGAATAGGATTGTCAAGCAGACAGACTGACCAACAATGTCATGAATGTTGCATGAACCTGACAAACTGAACTGTTTGTATTACTACATAGTCCAACTTAACTAAATGCAAACGTGTGGACTCAGTATATGAACTATAACTTATATAAGTAGGATATAAGAGTTATATAACTCAGTATAACTTGTGATGCGTGGACGTCGAGGGCAGAGAGACAGTTATGCGCTGCACTCTCCCCATGAGCCTGGCTACTGTTGGCAGATTTAACCCCGTTGTGAGGCCAGATGTCTCTCTTTGTTTTGACCAACTTCCTACCAGTCACGCTGACCCGGGACCTTTGCTGACCTCCCCAGAAAACAACTCAGCACCATCTAGTGGACTGAAAAAGTAATTGATTTGATTTTTCTAAAAAAAACAACAAATTTTTTAAATTTTTTTATTTTTTTTATAGTTTATATAATAAAAGATCGATACTTGGCGTCCGTGTATCGATAAAATATCGCCACGCAAAATATCGCGATACTATGCTGTATCGATTTTTTCCCCCACCCCTAGTAACTATACCATCATTGTTGTGGAAATCATTATTAATAATTATTGTGAGGAATAATTAACTGACATGTGATCAAACAGTCTCTTCACATATATTATTATTATTATTAAGGTGATCTGTGTAACTTTGTTATTCAGGAAGTTTGTATCAAATAAGTAGCATTTCGTACTACTCGGTACCTTTGAAGTAGCTCTCAGTTTAAAAAAGGTTGGTGACCCCTGCACTAGAGGAATGTACTGCTGTTGTTGTTTTGTTTATCATGTGTTTGTTGTGTTACAAACGGGCTACAACTGAATTTGGTTGCGCATCCCTGTGTTGCACAACGACAATAAATGTTTCTTAAATCCTTGAAACACTGAAACGAGCTGCAGGAGTTTCCATTTTTCCTCACTAGTATTCAACTTCATGCTGCAACTCTTCTGTCATCTACTTGACAGGAGCAGCATACAGTTGAAGTATGTAATTTATATTTGAGTGACAGTGTTCACAAGAATATGCCAACACACAGACAGACAGGCAGAGACATCAACAAGACAACTGCATGTAGGCGATGGATACAAACTGTGAAAGTGGAACCAGATCTTTGGTGTGATGTGGAACCTACCTGTGGAGATGGGAGACACAGAGGGCATGAAGAAAGAAGAGGTGAAGGAACTACAGGAGACTGGAGGAAATGGAGATGAAGATGGAGAGGCGTGGGCTGAAAATGAAATGAGTACAAGGTGTAAAGGTCAAACAGACATGGCTTTGAACAGAGGATGAAAATGAGGATAACGTGATAGTATGTGGCGTGAAGCGTGAAGGAGAGCACTCAAGGCCGGACCTGAGCAGCTGCTGCCATATCGCTGTAATTACCACAAACCAACGTCACTGTGTTGACGTGATGCTGTTGGCACAGTCACCCAGAGGAATCAACTCTTTCCCCTCTGCTCTCTACACCTCTCTGATGAGCGATGGGACCGTTCATATAAAATGCATGTGAGGGGTGAATTATTTATCGTGCTTTTTATTTCCCTCTCATACAGAGGAGATGTGAGTTTAAAAAACCATGAGCATGAGCTGGTTCAGGTGCAGGGTCCATCAAAACGCTGTCCCAGTTACTGCGAAATTGAACTCCTGCATGTCCCGAACAATCTAAAACATGGCAGGAAATCAATCTCGTTATATCAAATGTACCACCTCTTAATCCTACCTATCAACAAGTAACAACAGGCTTATTGCCCTACAGTGGTCCTCTGTGCTTATATCAGAGTAAACAGTCACTTTAGATAAATCAACCAAATAGAAAGCGAGAGTGTGAGCACATGTTATAAACAGTGGATTTAACTCCCCAGAGCTATCAGATTATACAGAAGGATGTCCATGGATCATGATACACAGACCTCACAAACTGAGACTTCTACCACAATAAAAGCTTGTTTCAACACAACAGCAGGGTGGCAGTGACTTAGCACAGCCTCTCGATGTCTTGCAGTAACAGTGAGTGACCAGGTTTGGCATCATCAGATCCCTTTACAAAGACCCATGCTCGCCTCTGACAACCTGCAAAGCTATGCTCTGGAATTCGTGATATATGTACAGTATATAAAGGTGTATATAGAGCACAAGCCTCAACAATATGAAGCTTCTGAAAAACCTTGGGTTGACCATGCTTCTATAAAGCCCTTCATATTAAATACATTACACACCTTCATATACACTTCACACAAGACTCAAGAAGCAATAATCTACAAGACATAATTTAAAATCCTGTTTACACAAAAACCAAACTCACAATAATCAATGATGAGCATGCGATGAATCAGTCCCTTTGTGATATCACAAAACGTGGGGAAACAAAACCCAAACTATCTGCATATCACAAGATACGTCAATGAATGACTGAAAACATGTTTTGTTGTATCTCTGGTGAACCGAGCCTGTAAGAAAACTCCTGGCTTCTCCCAAATGAACAAAATAAACCCAGCTTCACTGTGCAGAAAACATATAGTATCATTCAGGCATGGCTACATGCAAATACTGCAATGGGCAATCCGCCATGAAACCACTGTGGACTGTAAAGGGTATACTTAACCCATACAGAGAAAGAAGTTCTTACACAAGTTACTAACCACTGAGGAAAGATCTGGGACTGACATATGGGGGATTATACACATCAAAATAAGAAAATATGAGACCCCAGAGCCATGAAGGACTGACTTATTACGCACCTTGTTCCGAAGCCCCCCCTGGTCCCCGTCGGAGAGTCGAGGCTGTCTCCTGGCTTGGCTGGCCTGTCGCGATTCATTTGCTGCAGAATGGAGCTCAGCTCGGTGATGACGGTGTTCTTGCTGTCCGGTGTGGATGGGGGACTGCGCAGCTCCGGGGGTTGATCACCCCACAGCTTGGATGTCCTTTGAGTGGGAGTCCTAGGAGGTTCAGAGGACGAAGGTGGAGGGGGAGGGGCCTGAGGCGGTGACCCATAGGACTCCGGGGGCTCTTCAATGAGAGCGTCGTGATAAAGCGATGTCCTGTTGATGACGGACTTGCCCTTGGGTTTGGGTGGCACAGGGGGCCGATCCACCAGGAAGGCATTTCCGTCCGCAGTGGCATAGAGGCTCTCCAGAGCGCTGTCGCAGAAGCCTCCCTCTGACGACAGGGTGGAGATGCTGGAAACGGTGCTGGTGGTGTCCATGTGCTGGGGATCCCCGCTACTGCGGCTGTCTACCTCCTCGATGCCCGAGTCACCCACCCCTGATTCTGAGTCTGGTGGAGGAGGAGGATATGAGGGGGGCATGCTGTTCGCCACCCGTTTGTGTTGATCCATGACAGGTGGTGGGGCGTGAGCGTGGTATGGGGGTAGAGCTGGTCCCCCATTCCGTCTCTGTTGCTGAAGCATCTCTGCAATGGCACTAGCCTGGTCATCAGGAATGTCAATACTGTTGGCAAATTCCAGCGGTGGGGGAAGGGGCTCTGTGAAGTCAAAATCCTCATCAATGTCAACTGAGGCGAGAGGGGGAGGGGGGATGCGGAAGGGCAGCTTTACTGGTTCTTCCATGGACTCGCCCACGGTAATGCTCCTCCTCTGAGATAAGGTTAGCTGGGGATTGGAGAACAGAGTTGTGGTGTTGAGAGGATCGGGTTGGTTGGGGTCCTTCAGTTCAGATGGCCTGTTGCTGTCCTGGCCCTCCACCTCTTGGTTGTTCACCTTGTTGCTTGCTTCATTGCTGGTGTGGACCATCAGCAGCCCTGCTGACTTGGGTTGCGATGCGTCTGCCACATCTGCCGGGGCGCTTTTCCTCTCCTCTAGTGCCTGATGCTGCCGCTCTTCCCGCACCCCATCGGACTCGTACTTCTGCTCCGTCATCTGCCTCCGCAGACCGCCTCGGCCTGGCCGCCCCATGGTTGACGTGGAGATTGCAGCAAAACTTGTCTCGATCCCGGAGCGTAGTTTGGTGTCAATAAACAGCGGTTGGTTGAGGTCTGGTTTGTGGCTTGGCTGAATTGGGAGTGACTGGGCTTCGTGCTTGGGCGTTTGCTGAACCTGAGGAGGATTTGGTGGCTGATTCTGAGGATGGTTTTGTTGCTCCTTCATCGCCCGGTCACGAGCTGCCAGGGCCAGAGCGAGTGGAGAATTAGGATCCAAGGGCTTGCCGGTGACAGGATGGAGGTAGGTCCCGTTGGCCCTGTAGTGGCTCTTAGGAGGAGTGGCTGGGAGACTAACAGGGCTGTCCAGGTTGGGACACTGGCCTGTTCTGGTGTTTAGAGGCTCCCGCACCACTGTGGGCTCAGGGGTATTGAAATCTGTCATGTTGCCACTACCGCCACCAACAGGTGGCCCAAGCTGTGCAGCGGGAGGGGGACCCAATATCCTTCGAAGCCGCTCGTCGCTACTGAACATGCCTTCATCGATGGACTTTGACTGGCGTAGGCGAGGGGTTGGTGTGGGACTACTGAAGTCATCATCCCCAATGTCTATTGACTGGAAGGCAATTGAGTGCTTTTTTGCCTCTAGCCTTTTCTCCCGGTCCCGTACTGCCCCGGCAATAGCTACCGCAAAGGGGTTGCCTAGAGACATAGGGTCTTCAGGACGCAAACCACAAACAGTGGGCGTGAGAGATGGGTGTTCAGGGGTGGTGGGCTCGATCTCCATACTGCTACCCTGGCTGCTCTTGCCACTGCTGCTGGTGGAGGGCTCCTTGACGATTATGGTGGGGATGGGGATGGAGGAGCATGTTCGTTCTACAGGCGTAGTGGGCATGGAAACGGCACCCGAGGGGTTTGCTGGCATGCGACACATTTTCTCGGGACTATCCTCAACGTTGTGCTGCTTTACTAGCATGCCCTTCCTTCGAGCTGGTTTGGCTGGCACATACAGTGTCCTATTGCCCACCTCAGAGTAAGGGTTCTCCGGCACCGGCGTGCGCCCTCGAATGCGTGTGCTCTCAAACTGCTCTGAGCTCTGGCGGTAATAGCCACGCCTTAACGTACCGATGTCTGTGGTTCGGCTAATGGTCTTCACTGCATTGGGTGAGTTCTGGGTGAAGCTGGGTCGCGTGGTGCCGTAACCCTTGGGTGTAGGGCCAGAGTTGTAGTCCGGTGGCGAAGGGGGTGAACTGGCTGGAGGGGGAGGGATGTCCTCTGAGGTGTCGGGCATAGAGAGGCTGCGGGCGAACTTGAGTGGAGGAGGTGTGAGGAATCCCTGTTTCTCATCCTCCGTTGTACCTTGGAGAAATGGAGCAGAAAGAAAAATGATGTGAGGACCTGGAAGAGACACCCCCTATTATTTATCTCCAGCATGGCTTCCTCTTTACACTGCAAATGTCTCATTTATAGATGTGAGCTCTTTCTTAACCTTTATTTATCCGAGCAGGAGGTTCCTGAGATTTGTAAGAGGCCAGAAGGACTAAAAAAGAAAAGATGACTACAAGACGTTTGCTGCAGCAAGCGGGAACTTACTGGTGCGTTTATTTGACCATTCGCCCAACACCAGGTCAAAAAAATAAACCTTCATATTAAAGGCAGAATGCTTAATTTAAATCCTTTCAAAACAGCAATGGCATCCTTGGCTGACTTTACTGTCTTTCAGAGGCTGCAGCAGGCAACACTCCAAACTAAAGCAACGTTTTGGCCAGGGAAAAACTGGCATGGCCAAATTCACAGGGGTCCTTTGACCTTTCAGCTCAAAATATCTGAATGAAAATGGGTTCTATTGGTACATAAGAGTCTCCTTTTACAGGCAGACCCACTTTATGATAATCCCATGTAGTTTGGGGCAAAACCTAATCAGTTTTTTGCATCCAGTGTGATTGTGTTTTTATCGCCTATTCTAATGATGGTGTATTTTTTTAATTTCTGATCCATTACCCAAACAACTTTACACAGTGCTGCTCTTTCAGGTAGTGTATAACACTTCCATGTGGCATATATCGTGATCTTCTATCTCTGTCTAAACACCACTTGCCTTCCCTGGAAAAAAAAATGTGTTTATGGTAAAGTGGAGTGGAGTGAAAGAGGTTAAAAATATCAAATTATCTCACTTAAAAGACAAAAATGGCTTGAAAAAAAGTTACATTCATTGTAATTTGTCGCCACTTTGTAAATGAGTGACACTATTTAGTTGACACACTGTGTCGTGCTCTAAAAGTGCTTTAATAGCAATTATTGCCAACCAAAAAAGGTTCTTAATTTTTTTTGTCATAATAATATTGGCACTGCAAATCAAAAAGCGCTGTGAGTAACATCAGCCTGCACGACATCCCTCTAGCTCAGCAGTGAGAATGAGGTCTCAGCATACGCTTAATGACCTCCAATATTATGGCCTGAAAGCACACTTTGCTGACTGGATCGTTCTAATTTATCTATAATGAGCTGTAATATTGCTCGAGCACACGGAGCAGGTCCTCTGAGCATTAATGGAATATTACGACGAGCTGAAAAGCACGAGGTAATGGACATGCAGTCACTCACACACACACACACACTCAACGGTACATACATCATACCTATGGACTTTTGCTTTTTCAAAGTGCCCTTTTCAGGTAGCCCCAGGAATGCCCCTGGCACAGTGGGTGGCACCACTGCTACTCCCTGGCGGTCATGATACATGGACTGCGAACCAGAACTTTGTTAATGATGTACAACTAAAAACAGACAGTCTTCATTGGCTCTCTGCTGGCTGTGGAGACCGACACTAACAGCATGTAGATTCAGTTATCTATCAGTACAAAACAAGCTGTAAAACAATATTTTAAGAATTGTATTTATGTGCAATAAAGACAAAAATTAAACATATTTAAAATGAATATACTACAATCAAAACCAACAAGAAGTAACAGTATAATATACTGTCTAAACTGTGTAATCTAATTCTTAAAAAGTAACAGCTATTTATGTATGTTCCACCTTCTTTATGTGTGACACCTACATTCATATCAGCTGCCGTAACCAAGCAGCGACTGGATGGGCGTGGTTTGATTGTGGCGATCTTCGTATCAACAGGCGCGGCCTTCTGCGCGTGCGTCATCTCTTCTACTTTATCTGGAAGATGAAGCGAGCCGTGAATTCATGAGCAGCAAAAAATAAAAAAGTAAAAACGCAGAATGCCGGACTGAACTTGCAAAGCCTTGGTGAGTTTCTCATGGGGCCAAACGCAAGCTAGTCATTCACAGTCACCCTTCTCCGTGTTTCCACACTGAATTGCAGATGAGACTGAAACAAAAATATAACATTGAAACACAATCATTTTTTTGGGGGGGACGGGGACAGGGGGGGGGGGGACAGGAGGACTTTGATGAAATGTGTCGGGTGCGTCCAGCCTTGCAAGCCGTGCAAGCCTCTTTCCAAACAGCCGACTCAGCAGCATCATCCAACTCTCAGGGCTGTTCCCTCATCGAATGTAAGATGAACGATGAACTTGAGGTCTGTCAAGTTTGCCGTTTTTTTTTTTCCTCGAGCCTGCAACGTGGGAAAGGTGTCAACGGCAAATTTGGCAGAACTGAACTTCCCTCTGGTGTGTGATGATGCCGTCAGATAGAGTCCGACTAAAAAGAGGTTTTGCTCAGAGAAGCTACATGCTAGCCCCGACCTAGCCTCTCACTGCGGGACCGCCCCGGCTAGCTCTGTCTAGGATGTGGAAAGCTTCCATGCATTAGGGGGTTGCGATTACTTAGAGTGACTTGGAAAACAATCCTCTTCTTCTGCGCATCTACACACAGAGGAGAGGAGTGGGGGAGGGGAGAGGTGAGGAAGGGAGGAAAGGTGGGAGGAAAGGAGTGTCAATGACCTTAAGTTACAGCTACAACACAAACGCACACAACAGGAAGAAAATGCACATTTCCTCGCTCTCCCGACTGGATTGTTGCTATACAGCACATAAGACAACGTGCAACACAGTTGCCCTAGAAACCAACAACACACACACACACACACACACACACACACACACACACACACACACA